GAAAGAGTCGGGTCTACCATCACTAAGGTTGAAAGAGTCGGGTCTACCATCACTAAGGTTGAAAGAGTCGGGTCTACCACCAATAAGGTTAAGAGAGTGGGGTCTACCATCACTAAGGTTGAAATAGTGGGGTCTACCACCAATAAGGTTGAAAGAGTCGGGTCTACCATCACTAAGGTTGAATGAGTGGGGTCTACAATCACTAAGGTTGAAAGAGTCGGGTCTACCATCACTAAGGTTGAAAGAGTCGGGTCTACCACCAATAAGGTTAAAAGAGTGGGGTCTACCATCACTTAGGTTGAAATAGTGGGGTCTACCAACAATAAGGTTGAAAGAGTCGGGCCTACCACCAATAAGGTGAAAGAGTGGGGTCTACCCTCATTAAGGTTTAAAGATTTGGATCTACCATCACTAAGATTGAAAGAGTCGGGTCTACCAACACTAAAGTTGAAAGAGTGGGGTCTACCACCAATAAGGTTAAAAGAGTGGGGTCTACCATCACTAAAGTTGAAATAGTGGGGTCTACCACCAATAAGGTTAAAAGAGTGGGGTCTACCACCAATAAGGTTAAAATAGTGGGGTCTACCACTAATAAGGTGAAAGAGTGGGGTCTACCCTCATTAAGGTCTAAAGATTTGGATCTACCATCACTAAGATTGAAAGAGTCGGGTCTACCAACACTAAAGTGGAAAGAGTGGGGTCTACCATCACTTAGGTTGAAATAGTGGGGTCTACCATCAATAAGGTTGAAAGAGTCGGGCCTACCACCAATAAGGTGAAAGAGTGGGGTCTACCCTCATTAAGGTCTAAAGATTTGGATCTACCATCACTAAGATTGAAAGAGTCGGGTCTACCATCACTACGGTTGAAAGAGTGGGGTCTACTATCACTAAGGTTGAAAGAGCGGGGTCTACCATATGATCACCAAGGTCGAAAGGATGGGGTTTATCATCACTAAGGTTAAAAGGATGGGGAAGGGACAGGCAGTGTACAAAGCAATACGTTTGTGCAAAATACCCATATCATGGTGTCTTAAAATATGAATTACATCATTATGTTTAGATTTGTCAATCCGGACTAACTTTAGTAACTGGTAACTCGAAAAATCCTCCGACCGAGTTCCGACCGAGTAACTAGTTGATCGGTAAATTTGTTGATCAAACACTTAACAGCAACAAATGCATTGTATGGTTTGCCGATGTTTTTTATCAAACACGTATCACATAATAATAAGCACGATAGCTTACTCATTTAGCTCAAGATATCAACAACTAAACGCTGGAAATTATGTACTCCTGTGAATCTGTTTACGTCTTACTTTCAAAAGCGAGTTCTATCTCGTTAAGTTGGCATTTCGCAACTCTGCACTCGATTCCTTTTCAAAATCTGTTTAAGCATTTAATGGTGTTGTCGACCTCTCTTTGCCAATGTGTACTATTGAGCACAAAAACAACACAATGGGGTCTGTGAAAATCAAAAAATCCTATCCGGTCTCGTCGAAAGACATTTTTTAGTTATAAACCTCTCCCTCCCCATGGTGAAAATAAATGTCCGAATACGGTAATTGATTTTTGTAACCGGTTTGTGGTCTTTCAACCGAGTAAAATGCAAATGCCATGCTACTTTATGGGCGAAGTTTAACTAAATATAACATCGCTGTATTAAGATTGCACTATCACAAGTACTGTTATGCTTACGGTAAAATTGATGTAAGATTATGTCATTGATATTGACTTAAAATATTTCTTGATGTCGGAGACGTATATACGTCTCAGTTTACGTTCAGTTCTTTTATAGTTTTAGCGTAGAGAAGGAAACGCATCATATTATGCGCTATCGTACATCGTAATAGGGCAAAACACCAACAAGTCTTAGTTAATATACATATTTTAGTTGATATACATATTTTACATTTCATTTGTAATGAAATTTACTTTGCTTTTTCAAAACTCAAATGTACTTAGACTAAGTTAAACTCAATTATTTATCAATGATCTGTAGGCCGTCGTCAGTGTTCAAGATCTATTCCCTTGCAAGGTAGTAAAACGTGAATGTTCTTGGACGTCGTAAGCCCTTAGTTTAGTAACAACACTTCATGGTATACAGTATCAAATGGTTAACGTGGGACCAAGGTCTTGGGTCAATATTTCAGACCACTAACTTACTGAAGCTTTAGGAGCTTCTGTGGAAGGGCAAGGTCTCATCTCATATCGAGATTCAATAAGCAAGTTATTCCGTGACAACAATTTGTAAAATGGTTTAGGACCATTTCTCTCTTAAATTTATTAGTATCACCACTTCTGTCTAAATATAACTAGTAACAGAGATATAGATATTTAATTGTTTATTACAGAAGTCATATCCCAGATTTAAAAGTTGGAGCGACTTTCGTCTTTTTCAGTTATTTAAAAATTAACCACAATTGATGGAGTTATTGAAATATATGTCAAAGGTAGCTGGTTGATTCTTCAGCTATTGTGTGCATTTTAACAGAAATTCCATCGATTCCAAATTTATGCTGAAATATTTCCTCTTAAAGTTAATTAATTAAGATCTTACTAGAGAAAAGAAAACATATCTCCCCTACCAACTCTAAAACCTTTTTGTTGTCAGCATCAATGGTGTGAGTAACCACTGTGTATGCTAAACTACATGATTATGTCAGCATTTCACTTACTCACTGTATAGTTAACCTTAATTATATCTTACGTGGGTTTTTCTGACGATTACGTTGTCTTCATCCTTTTCAAATTGTTTTCAGGTTGAAAAAGTTGACATATTCAATGAAGCTGATTTGAATAGTCATTTTGGCGGATGTGACGTAGTGATGTCTTGCCTTGGTACAGCCCCAAGTCTCTTCGGCATGAGTACACTAACTTTCTACCTGGATTCCATCAAACCTATCATCGGTGCTATGCGCAAATGCGGAAATACTCGTCTGGTAACCATGACAGCGGTGGATACAATACGTATGTTAGTCAAATGTCATCGTTATATCCTGAATATATTTCTTGTTGCACGAAGTTGTCATATTTTGGTAAATAAAACAAGCAAGAGTAAATTATGTCGGTATGCAAGCATATCGCTTTATTAATTGTACAAAATTAAGTTTTGAAAAATACATTCTGATAATGAAGCTGCACATTTTATATTTCACTGCAGCTCAAAACAGGGGACCATGGATATTTGAATGGATTATACGGCCCGTGTTCCTGTCAAGCGTCCTTCAGAGCATGTCAGTAATGGAGGATTACTTACAGAAGGAGTGCCAGGATATAGATTTTACTGTCGTCAAACCCCCGGGATTAACGAATGAGCCGAGCAGTGGTAAGTACAGACATACATGTATCATATATATTATGAAATTCGCGATATGTGTGAAAGCAAGTCCACATTTAAGTGAAACACCTTTATTTATAATATTATTTTTCTCCCTGCACATTTGACATTCTTCATTGAAATATTTTTGTCTTTTTAAGCCGCTCTTGGTGAGAGCCGAGCGGCTTATTGAACGAAGTGACGGACCCACTTCCGTTAGGGGTGTGTGCGCATAATTCAGTCTTGCATGATTCAACTATATAGTTTCGTTATCGTAAATAGAAAGTAGAATCTCTGACACTCACTTGTGGGTTACATAAATTCTTCTGAAACTCCTCTCCAAACAAAATGTTTATCTCCGGTGCATTCTACGAGTGTTGTGGTGGTGAAATGCATGCACTAGGTTTGAGCGCTTTAGCAACTCGGATTGAGGAGTGTTTGTTTTCGTGACTCTGATTCGAGAAAGCACACGTCTGTCCGGTCTAGCTTTTTATATTTTGTAAGTACAAGGAAGAAGTAAATATATATATTATAAACCGTATGCGTGATGAAGTATAACCTCTATTTTGATCATATCGTGCTTAGGTTGATAACGGTAATAAACCATCGTTGCTACCACGGACGTGGCTCTAAGACGAGACGATATGTGAACTGCTTGTCAAACATTTCTGTAACACAGCATGCTATTTCTGGTGTATTTATTTATGAAAATGTAACAATTTAAGAACATGACACAACTGCCGCTGCTGTTTGACAAGAATTCGCGCTGTGTCAAAATATTATCCAATCTGGTGTAAGGGAAATAACTCTTACGTAGGTAAGTCGCATTGAGAAATATACAAATTCAATATATTCCAAGAACATTTGTGAGATTTTGTGATGAATTGTATATTCAATGACAGTAAATAAAGTCACTACATATATTAATAATTATTATTAATATGAATAAAAAATAAATATAAATAAAAGGAGTTCAATGTCTCTTTTCAAAATGCACCTATTCTTTATTACCCATTCACCGATTAGCATTCTGCATGTAAATGCTCATGTCACATCATTGGAGGATGCTAATTAATGAAAATTACAATAATGCGTCACAAAAGAGGGTNATATAGTTTTCGAATAGCATGTCTTACACGTGTATTGCGCTCCTAAACTTTCTGCACTTAAAACAAATGAGACTGGCCTCGACGATGAATTTTCCCGCATGTTAGGTAATATCTTTTCGATAATAACACTTCATTTTTTTTGCTTTGCCTTTTTTTTTATTCTGACGTACCAATCCCATATATTGTGTATTTCGGCATCGTTTGTTTGCGTTAAGATAATAAATAAAAATACTAGTGTCAATTGGACGGTAAAACAATTCATAAATATCATTTAAAATGATGTCTCAACTACAAAGCGTAGCTGTACTGTACACGTATACAGGGATTTGTTGACATGATTCCATAGAAGATAAATCAATAGGTATGCTATTAAAATATCAATACAATGTTCTATTGATTTAAAAATATTTATCACTTAATAAAGGAAAAGGATCACATGCCTAAATATTAAACAATGAAAAGTGAATATGAATNGATTATTGTAAACAGACGAATTCAAGGCCATGGCTACTAATACATGCGTATTTCGCGTTATGCTGTATAAAACACAAGATCGTACATTCATAAACAACAAGTTTGAAAGGATTTAGTTTTCATGACTACTGCTACGTCATGCCGTTACTTGTTTTTTTTAAAAACACACATCTTGATTTTGTTCTTTCTTTAACTCGGAATGATAAAATTACATATAGTTTTCGAATAGCATGTCTTACACGTGTATTGCGCTCCTAAACTTTCTGCACTTAAAACAAATGAGACTGGCCTCGACGATGAATTTTCCCGCATGTTAGGTAATATCTTTTCGATAATAACACTTCATTTTTTTTGCTTCGCCTTTTTTTTTATTCTGACGTACCAATCCCATATATTGTGTATTTCGGCATCGTTTGTTTGCGTTAAGATAATAAATAAAAATACTAGTGTCAATTGGACGGTAAAACAATTCATAAATATCATTTAAAATGATGTCTCAACTACAAAGCGTAGCTGTACTGTACACGTATACAGGGATTTGTTGACATGATTCCATAGAAGATAAATCAATAGGTATGCTATTAAAATATCAATACAATGTTCTATTGATTTAAAAACATTTATCACTTAATAAAGGAAAAGGATCACATGCCTAAATATTAAACAATGAAAAGTGAATATGAATATGGATTCGAACCTACACTGTTCACATTTTCTGGTCACAAGCTAACTGCGTTACACATTAGGCTACATCGGACATAGACAAAAAGGGAAATACAAACTGCTTTAACCGGGGAAGTTGGTTTAATGTACATCACCCCTGAAATGTCATAATGAACTATTCCAACATTTTACTTGGAAGAGTTCAAATGTGTTTTCAGCGATGAATGAGTTGACACCGGCTGAAACTTTTGAATTGAATAACATATTTGTTGTGTATATTTTAAGTGCCAGTTAACTGAATATCTTGTTGTTATCTCTAGTTGTAGTAGATGGTGCTGACACTACAAATATTGTAAAAAACACAAACGTTGCTGTTTGCACTGGACTTGGTATGTCCACACAACACATGCAGGCCACTTTCTGATCATCAGTGCTTTATAACAGTATATACAGATGACATACAGAGAAGCAGACGCCATATTAGATCGTAATTAATGATTGATTAGAAAGTGTTACGTTTATAGACATGTCTGCTTTGTCTTCGTTCCGCTCCTTAGTACGTCTATAGCGTTAGAGACCATTGGTCGACCGACCGCCTTTTATTTTATATTGTTTAGACGACTGTGACTGTTTTGGTTGAACATATTTCGATGTCTTATGGTGGAGATTTTGCATTGACCTTTTTTGCATTTTGCTGGAGAGATAAAAGGGGTAAAAGGCCGATAGTATTTATACACTACCCATGGTCTTTATTCTGCATGAGTTTTACAATAGTTTCGGGTTGCAAAGTGGAAATAACTATTCCGTGTTATACATGTTTTCTTCTAATCTGATTTTCTTTTAATCGCGTCACTCGACCATGCAAGCGAAAACGTTATGTTTGCCATAGTTTCAAAGATTTTGGGCGTCAGTATAGGGAAATGCGGTAATTCGAGGTTGCATACTAGCATTTCAAAAGTTTCAGCCGGTGTCAACTCATTCATCGCTGAAAACACATTTGAACTCTTCCAAGTAAAATGTTGGAATAGTTCATTATGACATTTCAGGGGTGAATGTGTGAAGGTCTAACAACTTTGGAGTAGTTAGTTAGTTGATATTAGCCTTAAATATGTCTATTTGAATTATAATGTTAGTCAAAGTTAATCCAGTGAACAGTAATATTTTAGAGTGAAGAAAAATTATCTTGTCTAATTTTGTTTTGTTTCCAGGAACGGAGGTGAAGGGGGCGGAGGGGCAGTACATAGAAGGCACGATCAGGAGGATCTCACGAAGGGACGTGGCCAAGTTCATGTTAGACTGTATCCCTCTAAAACAGTGGGTGCGCAAACTCGTGTCGATCGGACTTCCGGTTTAGCACATCATCTGTCTTCGCATGCAATACTGTACATCCTGTCGATAAACAAGGCGTCACTACAACAACGATGCCAACTATAACAACAATCCAAGCAATAACAACAACAAATGTTGAGCGGTACTCACTGTCAAAGTTGTTAGGTATACAAATGAGCCGGGAACAAAAATGTTCAAAACGCACTGCTTTCTAGTTACCAGAAACTGGCTGGAATGATTTCCGCGAGACAGTGGTATCAGTAACATTGGGAATCGTTAAGTTATGGAAAGGTGTCATACACTTTCAAGAGTAGATATGACATCCTCGATATACAGAGGTGACGGTCACGTTCGCTCTCTACACCCCTGGAATATGTCACAGCAAAATCAAAGGCTCAGCGTGCACCACCTTCAGGAAGAAGGCTAGTTTGATACTTTGATGTACATCAAAAGAATCTTGGGGTCGCGCAACGGTAAAACTTACTGGCTTTAAAGTCGGGAGTCGCTCCTCTGTCAAGTATCAGCCTGGTGATTGGTCAGTGGGTTTTTTACCGGACACCAATCGAATAGCCCGTCGCGTGCCTGACCTAGTCCATGGGTGTAGAGAGCATTGGTGAGCGTAACCCCTGGATATCGAGGATGGCCAGATGAACGCATGAATTTATATTCAAAAACGTGCCATAGAGACTGGGCATTGCAAGATAAGCACCACTATTATATTTGTATGTATATTTTGTAAATATTGGATGTTTAACGCGTGAAGATCGCACCTACATGTACCGTACTCCAATATTCAACCGTTTAGATTTATATACCCATTAGACGTTTTAAATATTAAATTTTACTTTATTTTGGAAAATACTCTTATCTACGATTTGGGCATCAGAGCATTTGTTCACAAGATTTAATATTCACTTAATGAGGTATAACCGGAACAAATGTGCATTGAGAAGTATTTCAAACATAACTGAACTTAAGATCTGCTTTTGTTGGTAAAACTATTGACTTCACGCAATAAAAATGTTGGGTTTCTTGTATAATGTTTGAATTATATTTACTCATATATTTTATGAAATGCATCAGTTTGAGGATACGTTTTGTCGTAAATCCGAACTCTTCAATTGTAACTGTACGTTCTTTTGGTAATTCTATTATGACGTCATTGTTATATCTTTACATTGCCATTGTGGAGACTTTAAATTAAACTATCAACTCAAATATCAAAGCATAGCAACATGAACACAAACGTTTTCCAATCAGAAACCCGTTTTGGTCTTTCCGTCTTCATGTTAGTGTAATCGGGGATTAAATGATATGACGTCAAATGTCAAATATGACGGAATTATCGAATGGTCACTTAAAGACGTTTGACGCCTAACCGAACAAGCAAATTCTTGGAATTCTTATCCCCCGCTTTAAGGACATGTTTTAGATGAAGTGTTGAGAGTTACTTAAAACAGGATATGCTAGTATGGACAATTAAGAGCAGACAAAGCAGAAAATGTTTCTTAGAAATAGGCCTTCAGTTTGTTTCAAATTGGCTCGTGGGTCAGGATTAGATATGGTATGTGAAGTGTACCAGCCTAGAATAGGTCTAGGGGGGTATATATAAGCCAAATTTTGGTGGGGTTCCAGCTATTGCTAAATTTCCCATAGAAACCACCCACACCCGGATTTCTTTCAAACTTTGCATGTTTGTAGTACTATAAATGGCAATGCAAAATATACACCTGAATTTTCATCTTTTATGAACTGACCATATGTCACAACATACGTCAATGACATGTTTTTGTACCACCTTTTTCATAAATTCATATTTTGTTACCTTCCTGAAACAATATTTATTATTTTTTATCAAATTGTATTGGTACATTGGTATACAGATGGTTTAGGGGGGGAAAAAGTTTTGTAACATTTTCAAAACAAGGCTATTGTTAAAAATATAAAAACTTGGTATGACATGTTTTGTCCACTATTTTGATCTACTTAAAAACTAGCTTCAATATGTATTCTATCACCAGGTAAAATTTGAAAAGAATTGAAATCCGGGAAAATAGTTTTAGAACTACTGAAACGCTAATGGTGCAAAATTTTGGCTTTCAGAAAAGTGTCTCCAGTTAACAAAAAAAAATGAAGGGGTAATGCACAGCATAGTTACATAATTATTTGATCATTATAAGGTGTATATATAGTTTTATGTTAACTTTAGAAAACATAATAATTCTATAATGCTGAAATAGCAAGAACAATATGTATTTTCTTTATTTTTTATCAAATCCTAATAATAAAAAAAAAATAAAAAAAATCAAGCATTTGAATAAAACTTGCCAATGAATATACTTAAATAATATTTGATTGCAAAGATTGTTCTCATAGAGCATGCGAAAAATCAAGCTGTTACATCAACAAGTTCAGCATAACAATGTATTAACCCTCAATAAGCCAATGTCTCTTTATTATGCATGTGAATATCCAAATGCGTTACTGATAGTTATTTAATAGGGACTAAAATAATAACTGTATTGGTCTTTCTTGAACAACATGTAAACATATGAAGTAATTACACATATGAGTAAAACTTGGTGTCATTCCTCATTGTGCCTGCGCATGTATTATTCAACTGAATAAAGGCCAAAGGGCACCCTTGCCAATGTCTATATTATGTATTTAATATGTATAATAAGGCTGAACACCTGAATATTGAAATACCATATACCTTAGGCATACCTGACAACAAAAGGCATAGTCGACGCGTGTATATGTAAATGTAATTCATATAACACATTTTATGCAGAACTATTATTTCATGGCATGCTGTTGTTGACAAACAGCACCATAACCGAGTCTGGGTTGTTGGAAACTAATTCAATACACTTACTTGGTACATGTATTATTATAAAATGTTGATTGCATCTCAAATGAAGTGCACTGAAATGTTCTTGAACATGCAAAGAACTCCTCATAATCCTTTATGCAATATCATCCATCAAAGGTATATCTTATATAAATTAAATATAAAACAGTTGCAATGCTTTTGCCTCAGGGTGGAAGGGAATAAAACACATAACAAATTAATCCTCAAAATAGGTATACCTTTACGTTGGTGTAGGATTGTGTGTCCCAGGTAACCCAAAAAGCTACAAAGAGGCTGGCGGAAATGTATTACACAGTTTCCTTTTGGGGTCACCCAAACCAGGCAGGTTAACGGATAGAGACCAAACAACTAGTTAAACACACACAAAATTCGGCAACTTTGCTTACTTACAAAATATTATATTATTATTAACGTTAATGGAGAAAATTAACTTTTTAATGTGAATACTTCCAACGCTGTTGCATTATGGCCTATTACCAGGTTTGGTCTTTTCTATATCATATATAACATTAACTAATACTAAATTACCACCACCTATTATTACATGTATATCATATTATGTCATATTTACACAAAACATCATTATTTTCAAGTTAGTGTAGATTCTAAAGGTCTATTGTTCATTAAAACAACTTAAAGAATGTTTGACATCATTTCTGTAACTACACACTACCTATGTTCATAATGCTTGAAAACAATTTTCCCGAATTTTATTTTTTTCTGAAATTACTTGTGTGTACAGAGGATACATATAACCTATTTTTGAAATGGTTTTAATGGTGGACAAAGGTTATGGCTTAATGGTTTGATGACTTTAACTTCAAAATTGAGATTTCATAAATTGAAAAAATAACTTCATTTGTCACCCTCTAGTTGACTTGCGAGTAAAGTTATCATTCAAAAATGATAATTATTGATGTGGAAATGAAGTAACAAATATCCTCAACAAATCTGAGAGTAAAATATGTCCCAAAATGTAGGCAGGGTGTATCTTTGCGGCATTTAAAGATATGAAGTGTAAACAAGTGAATTACAGGCCCTGTGGACCTTTTACATTTCACAACTGGAAAAGGAATGACATATTCGGGTATGTTTTAGTGAACTCTAAATACTGCAAATTTTTTTAAAAAATCGGGGGGTGGGTGGTTGTTGGAACCCCACCTTTCATTGGTCATTCATGCCACTATTGAAACTTTACATGGCAGAATTTCTAGTATACAACATTTTTATTGGATACCATATATAAATTGACTGATTGATATCCTGAACTTCGCTAGTCTAGGAATAAGACAAGGTGCAGTTGTTTGTCCTCGTGTATTTTCTATATAGAAATCAATTTTAGGATAGAAGTTTAGGGTCTCTGAAAACTTTATTTTCCATACGAAATGGATTTGTTACAATAGTGATCTCCCTTTGATGATAAGAAGGGAAATATATATTCTGTATAAGGATTGCTTCCCTTGCCCATATTCCCAATCATTATAAACAATCATTTCCTCCTAACAAATGAGATGTTTTACAATATTTCGCAGTCACTGACTACAAGACAAGATTAGCATAAATTGTTAGTTTTTTTTTCATTATTTTGCCTATCACTAATTAAATAATTGTTGAGTATGCGTACATTCCCACAGATCACATATGAACTTTCCGATAGTATCACACTCAAGGTGTGGAACACGTAAAAGATATAAAACAAAAAGGTAATAAATTGTATTTTCTTACGTGCCGCAAAGAATCCGATGATTTACATACTGTCACGCATGCCCCGATGGGCCCCTTTAAAATGGGTCAAATTCTTCTACTATTACGATAATTTTGTTCAAAGTAAATTTTAATGTCATTTGGTAACCAAGTGACGTAATTGATCTCTATCTATGACGGCACGTTTATTGTGTAAACATGACCTCTGACCCAGTCGACCACGTAGTCGCCATTTGTTTGAGTCTGCTCTTGTGACATCTTGTGCACTCGTTTATGCTCATTATGTAAACATGGCTGCATCCATGTACCTGGTGAGATACGTAGCAGTGGGGAAAGGCTTTAAAGTTACATAAATATAAGTCATTGGAATGTTAAATCTGTTCATACCAATATACTTATAACATTTATAAAATTGGATGACCAGAATTTTAACAGCAGTTTTTCCAACAGACTGTGACACTGTCACTGCAAAATCGAAACATTGCATGGAACAAAACACGTAATATTTAAGATGTCACTATGGTTGTATCATGCGTATTCTAATACATGTGACTTTATACATTTTGTACATGTAGCCAGGTGTGACAAACAAGTACGGCACCTGTTTGTCCCAGTGCGTGTCACTCCTGTAGGTGCGGGATCGGGAAAAGAATACACCTGCTGTAACCCACTACATGTATCGTAGGAGGCGACTAATGTCGGAACCCCCTGCAGAATTGGGGATTTGCTTTGGTGTCCTCTATTTGGGGACACAAAAGCGACCAAAATAAATCTGCTGCACCCATTGCAATAATTGGGTTCTTTATCTTTCTTTCTACTTCTTACTACTTTTTATTTCCTAGTGCCTTGCTTGGCAACACCTCAGTTTTTGCTGACATGCTGAGCGTTCGCCCAGGTGAGGAAGGCAATTGGTTCTGTCCTAATGCCAAAATTACACACAAAAGTCCTTAAAAATGGTAGTTGTTATTCCCTACTTAACGTTCAGCATTAAGGGGAATGGCAACAAATGGTTTACCCGTTGTCAGTATAATGTGACCGGGCGGAAATCTGTGCTGGGTGCTGGGTGCCTTCGGCATGGCATTTCAGTGAAATAGCACTACAAAGTCGGCATCAGATCCGCGCTATCACAAGGAGACAAGCACACCAACGACCCTGTCTCCTGCATACACACACACAAGCACGCATACACTACACACATGGAGGCACGTCCTTAAATTACCTTAGCTGTTAATAGGACGTTAAACAAAATAAACCAAACCAAACCCCGCGCGTGTAGTTGTTCGTTAACTCAGGTAGCACGGGCTTCTGTCCCATGTCACCCGACTACTGTCAGGTGGCATGGACTTCGCCCCGGCTACAAGTAGTCGATAGAGTCACTCCGACTGCACCCCTGCAAGACAGCAGACGTTTTTATCTTGTAAGCTTCCTGGTGTACCTGGTAAGCATTCACTATCCTGTTACCTATTCTTATCACCTGTAGTGTGTATGTCAGGGGTAAGATTGGCGAGGGTAATGAATATGGATGAGTCCGGAACGAGAGTGTGGAGTTAAATAATAACTGGAATGTAATGTTATAACATGTTGAAAGTCTTCTTATCGGTAATAAACCGACTACACTACAGAAGCCTTGGATTCATTAAGTATAAACTGAAGTGAATTCACGGAGATAGCTTTTATTTGGCTTGTTTTCACACGTATTATTTCAGATCTCACTATGTTTATTGTAAATGATGACGAAATAACCAGCTTTCTGTTCTGTTCCCGAGTACTAAGGTAAATCGAACGAGAAACGCTATCTGTGAACTCCTGATAAGATACATTTGAATTTTTAGAGGCGTTACGAAATCACAGCCGTTCAAATGTTGGACTGTTGAGTTTTTGGTTTTCTTTACCTATCAAGAACCCCCCTTTTTGTGTATGTTGGGGGATGAATGGGGAGGGTAAAGTGTTCTTGTGATGTGTATATTTTTGGTGTTAGGGCAATATCTGAAAGATAGGACATGCTTTATGGTAGAAAACAACAGACATATTTTTTACTTCTCTGTCTCCCACACAATTGCGGTTTCATAAGTTATGCTTGCCAAGGTTTATTCTTCAAGTATGTTCATTTGAATTTCATGGGGCTTATGAAAGCCCATTTGAAACATATTTTAACATACGAAAAGATATGTATAAATTCCATACGTGACAAGCTATTTAGAAGAAATCGATTTTGCTACGCCATTTTGTCCTTAGCCTTACAAATCAATAGTAGTGAGTACTTTTCCGAGAATACCTCGCTTTATCTTGCAAATCATTCCATGGGAAATATTTAATATTATCAGATAATACTCGTCCAATGCTCGTTCAGGGTATTTAATTTCATATCAGTTGCGCAATAATTGGTTCAGGTGAAAACAGGTAAGAGATATGTGGCATATTGAGTAAATCAGGGCAAATCGCGAACACTTTAGACACGGTGGTCATTGTTATGACAGCAGTATCTACTTGTTATAATTGGAAACCGTTCAATATATATAAACATAAGTTAAAGGACATTCCATATATAGATATCAGAGACATTCACACAATACAAAGTGTATGAATAGTTATTAGCAACCTAGTTCTATTTATTCGTTTGGTCACTAACAAAGTTAATTTAAAACATGTATTATTTGTTTAACAAGCTCGAAAAGGCCGCAAGAATGAAGCACACCTTAATAGAAGACAAAGGTAACCTGACGTCAGCTTTATCTGAAATCAAAAGCCAAAAACTCCTCGCTGTTGACTGTGAAGGTGTAAACTTGAGTAGGTTGGGTGAACTGACTCTACTGACAATAGCAACAAAGGCCGAGGTCTTTGTCTTTGACATACTGAAACTCAGCCAGGCTGCATTCGACAATGGACTTTGTGAAGTTCTGGAGGACAATTCCATCGAGAAATTGATGTTTGACTGTAGGCAAGACTCCGATAGCCTTTGGCATCAATTCAAGGTTAAAATAGCAGGCGTGCTTGACATCCAGCTCCTGGAAATAATGTTCCGGAGAGATAACTTCCCTTCACCGCAAAGAACGTACAAATCGTACAGGCGAAGTGCGATGATTGACGATGTTGAGAATGTTTACGGATACCGGAAGTGCCTTGAGTTGTACCTCGATGACGACGATATGATTGAAAAGAAAGACAACGGCAAACTAATGTTTGACGACTGGCAAATATGGAAAAGACGCCCAATTCCAAAAGTTCTTATCGATTATTGCGTTGTAGATGTATCCGGATTGTTCCTGCTGTATGAAAAGCTGAAACAGTCCGACGCGGATTTGCCTCGTCTGCGAGTTGCCTCAGAGCGCTATGCGGACATGTTCAGGAGGAAAGAGGATCGAAGTAATGACTCATACGAATCAAACGCTCTGCTGCCTTTGGAGATCATACCCGAGACTGGGACTCTCGGTTTCCCTGGTGCGTCAACAAAGTGCACAACATGTGATCGGATGTTTCCACGGGAAGAATTCAGTGGTATTCAGCTGCGACAGGGAAATCAAAAATGTCGGGTGTGTAAGAAAGTCAAATTGAGGATAGATGTTCAAAATAACAGGCCCGATAGTGTAGATGAATATTACGAAGAAAGCTCGTTTGGGATTATTGATTATTGATGACCATACTTCAGTAACCTTAACAATTAGCCGACATTATTTATCTGTCTACTATATACTATATATCAGCTTGCTTAGTTCACTTTATAGACAACTCGGCACAGACCGATACTGACTACTGCGGGTGATGATCGATTTCCAACTCTTATCATACACTCTTCCAACATATATGTCCAACATTTATTTGTCAAAACCTAACAATATTTATTATGTAAAACAACTTTGTTAAATAAGATTATTAGCACACAAATTGAATTTTTAATGTCGTAGGTATACTAATATCGAAAGAGGAAATGGATTGTATATATTTTGTTATATGATTGAAGCAAAAGATTCATTTCATATCGTTTCGACATGTCGTTGTTTTGCTAACATAAGATCTAAATTCATCAAAAGATATTATGTAAATCGTCCTACTATGTTTGAATTAACCCAACTGCTAAAGAGTAGTATTACAGAGATTATAACTTTGGGTAGGGTAAATATTTAGTGCATGCGAAAAAGAAAAGGTTTCAACTACATTAAATACTGGTTAATGATTACTCTCTACTATAATAATGCACAAATATAATGTCTTTATGTTATAGGCTTAGGATTTGATAGGGTACATGATGAACGCAGGCAATTACTTCCCTCTATATCATTTATATAATAAATTTAATTGCAAAATCACTACCGTTGTTGGATTTGTAGCTAGCTAGGTGATTTACGTTCAGTTCAATGTTTCCAATGATTGTCCAAACTGATTTTATAGTCTCTTATTGTTGTAGTCTGTGTGACCGACCCAGGAAGACTTTTCCAAATATCAAGAGTTCTTTAACGAAAGGAATGATCCCACTGTCTTATTTACATTTATTTTTCTTTATTTTTGTGTGTGTATGCCTTCTCGTTCAAGATGTTAAATCTTTATCAAAGATGCCAGCAGTAACTTTGTTGGCGTGAAAATTGGTCATAATTTTGTTAACATTATGTATATCTCCTCTCATTCCTCGATATGTAAGTGTTGGGATTCCTATTTTTTTAAGACGGTCGCTGTAAGATAGATCCTTCAGTCCAGGTATTGGTTTTGTTGCCCTTCGCTGTACTTTTTTTATTTGTTTGAATGTCTTAAACTGTGTATGGGTTCCATACACTTGCCGCGTATTGCAGGTGTGGACGAACAGCTGTTTCAAGGTACATCATCCAAATTCACACATGATCTTCTAATAAGCCGCACAATGCTGTTTGCCTAGTTTACTGCCTGATGAATGCGAAACGCAAACTTCATATCCTTATTTATCAATACACCAATGTCTTTTTCATATGATATAATGTCCAGCTTACTGTACTGTATGTATGTTGAACCTGATACTTCGTAAAACTTAAACTAATAATAAACCTGAGACTTGAAACAAACACATACGCATGTTCCGTTCTATGAAAACATGGTATTTAAATAGCGTCGATATTGTATGTAATAAGTGCTTGTGTATCTACATGTACAACACTTGACGCCTCACATCAGTTACAGTGAGCTAATTCTTGTGTTGTTAAACGTTTACGATAGAGACATTTTATTTAATGTTGTAAACAAGTTGGTCTCCTTTAAAAAAGGAAAGCAATCCTGTCCGTGCGAAAAGGTTTTAAAATCCAATGAGCAAAAGACGTGTACATGTTTGTGGCTATTAATTTGATCCAGGGTAACAAACAGGTAGTATATGCACTGTAATTGAAATAATTTTACTCTTTAAAACAAAGATCTATCACCATTAACTTGCCTCACTGGGCATCAACGTGCAATGTAAAATTATAGATATAGAAAAGATTCGATGAAAGGTTTTTTCAATTTTTCAATGTCTAAATTTTAGAATGTAAAAAGGAATGATTTAAAGGGGCTGGTCGGGAAAAAAATGTCATATTTGCTAAAATGGCATACACATGTTTAAAATACTTTCTTATGAAATATACCGATTCATATTATGCTGAAATTCACTCCCTAAGAGTAAAACTTATTTATATTAAAGGAATCCTAAATCGTCACCTAACAGTCTAAAACTCTCAATTGACAAAGATCAGTGATGTAATTTTACCGCGTGCGCGTCATCAACAAGGCCAAATGTAAACATCGCGGCGAAAGAAAAAAAAGCATGCAAAAGTCATGACAGGCACGAGGTATCAATACCGTTATATATAACAACATATAGGTAGGAATACTACACTTGCATCATACATGACATTTGAAAACAATTATTTACGTATAGTATTGCTGTCTTGTCCGCTAGTTGAGTCCGACATGCCTGACAGACGGCGTGCTATTGTTGTTATCTTCACTGCCTCATTTTTGAAACAACCACGTGACATATATAAATAGATCTGCGCTAAATTTACGCGGGGCTTCCCCGAGATTTCAGTGGTCAAAACTGGACATTGCAAGCAGATCTCGACCATCATCTTGCCGGGGTATAACTTTTGGAAGGCCAGAGAACGCATTAAGACCCATTTTTTTCCCCGACCAGCCCCTTTAATGATTGCAGGAGATAAGAAAATAAAAATAATAAATAATGGCAACATCAAATGCTTGTAAATTAACGATATCGTTATAATCAACACCCTTTTGAAATATTTTTTTATATAAAGTGCATTAGGAAATTAAGGAAACTACAGTATCACACCTGTATTTAGTAATTTAATTGTTTGTTTATTTTTTTATTATTTCTCTTCCAATTAGCTTACATGTCATGCAATGCCCAACTGTATAAATGAAAATAAAATCAAACACTTTGAATGAATAATAAAATCTTAAACAACCTATAAGTTGACTATAAAACTACACAATTTAGTTGTGTAAAATACCTATAAACCAACACTTAACATTTTTGAATGTAGATAATTGTTATAATTAACTAATAATTCCAAAAAAACGTTAGCTGTTGTGTTTTTTAACACAGATGCATGATTTTTAAATTACGTATGTATCGACTCTTATATACAATGTAAACCTTGGATTATGAAAAGTTCTTTTTACACAAACAATACATTTTGTTCTGGCACTAGATATGTCTTCATGCCAAACAATACGTGCATTATTGAGTTGAAATGCATATTACATCCGCACGCAGCGAATATGACGAAGTTACAACCCGATAAAGGCTGGTATTCACCGTCGACCACCCCTTTCTTGTTAACGTGTCCCACTTCCGGTGTCAAGATTTGCAATGAAGTCGATTTCATCAACACCATCAATACTACTGACTCTATGCCTCATTACATCGTTCGTGGCATATTTAGGACTATCAGAGAGTCGTAGTTTCCCAGGCCAAACCACATATGTAGCTTATATTGCGGTATCGTCAGTCGTTTCTAAGGGAAACCTCCCACGTTCACTTTGTTCGTCAGGATGCCCCATAGCTCAACACTCCGGTAGACAACGCAAATGCATTATCCTTCTACTCATCATAACTGCTGGTGATATAAACCTGAACCCTGGCCCCGGAAATAAGTCTGTTTTTCCCAAGTAGACTTTGTGAAATCCCTGTCACCTGGCAACAGATCGGAGTCTGTTGTACCAATTGTAGTATGTGGTATCATAAGAAGGCTAGAGCGTTATCTGGCACTGTTATTAGTGTAACTCTGTTAATATCGATAGCATAACATTTAACAGTTTTGAAATATCAAACATTTATCAACCACTATTAAAATTGGATGATTCTGTTGTCTCGATTACAACTACCCTGAGTTTCAGCCCACCGCACAGTAGTAGTTCGAAAGTAAGACCTAGACCCTCATCCTTTAGTAGTATTGGTTCAAGAAGGCAGTCGTCTACAGTAGACAACACCTCCACTAATAACCCATACCTCATTAGAAATGGGAACCCACGCGTACTCACAATAAACTGTTGTAGGGAAAGGACAAATCAGTCAGAATTCAAAGCAGCTATTGAATACATTAAACCGGATATCATCTGTGGTACAGAGTCTTGGCTTAGAGGTACTAAACCAGGAAAGTTGCCAGCACCCACATCAACCCTAAACAGTGAGGTTTTTCCTGAATCCTTTATTATACACCGAAATGATAGATCATCGGGCCTGGGTGGGGGTGTATTCACTGCGATTCGAAAGGGATTAATCACAGACGAGCAACAACAGCTAGCTACTGATTGTGAAATTGTCTGGTCAAAAATTAAACCCAGAAATAAGAAGGACCTTTATATCTCTACCTTCTATATGCCCCACAGAGTGATATAAACCTCCTCCTAGAATCCATGAAGAAACAATCTAAAGGGCGCATCTAACCGACATGTGATATTAGCAGGGGACTTTTATTGTCTAGATGTAAACTGGGATACCCTGACAGTAGCAAGTGGTGCCCAACAACGGGAGGCTCAACAAGCCCTCACTGGAAAATGGACTTACACAAGTACACCATGACTGCACCAGACAAGACAACATCCTTGACTGGGTTTTCACAAACAATGCATCCCTGGCCAAATCCTCGATAAGTGTTCCAGGTATCAGTGAACACGCAATAGTGTTAACCGACTTCGACTTACTCCCACACATAGTCATGCGGAAGCCCCGGAAATGCTACCGCTATGCAAAAGCAAACTGGGAGGGGCTCAAGTCTGACTGTGTCAATATATCTCGCAGACTCTCCCCAAAAGGAGGGACTGATGATGATATCGACAATAAGTGGGACATTTTCAAAGAGGACATACGCGCCTCCATGGACAGACACATACCATTCAAGGTCATGAAGGGTCGTTTATCGCTCCCATGGTTTAACCGTAACCTTCGTCGAATGGTCAAAATGAAAGCAAGGCTCTATAATAAAGCCAGGTCATCCGGAACATCGGATCAGTTCAAGGCATTCCAACATAAGTGTAAACGTGATTTAAAAAGGCAGAATTATTACATATCAACAACACCATAGCGGAAGGTCTTGGTGACAATAACACTAAACCATTCTGGTGCTTCGTGAAATCGAGGAGACAGGAAAACCTAGAAGTTCCACCTCTGAAAGTGAATGGAGCTCTCAAGAATAGTAGTGTTGACAAAGCCAAAATCCTACTGGACCAGTTTGTGTCAGTCTTTACTACCGATACATCGAGACCAGCTACCACCGCTGGAAATTACAGCTAAATGAGTAGCTAAACTACTCTCCGGATTACAGATCCACAAGGCGACAGGACCAGACGGCATTCCGAATAAAATCCTTAAAACTGTGCAGACGAATTAATACCAGCGCTAACACGCATCATACAGTGCTCCAAAGCTACCGGCCACCTGCCCAAGGACTGGAGAAGCGCCAATGTCTCACCCATTTTTTAAAAAGGGAATTGTTCATTTACCCGAGAACTACAGTCCAGTGTCGTTAACTTGCGTCTCGTGCAAAGTCCTTGAGGATATTCTATGTAAACACATACTTCCACCATCTAGAGAAAAACAAGATTTTAACCAAACTAAACCATGGCTTCAGGGCCGGTTTCTCCCTTGAAACGCAGCTCATCACGACAATGCATGACCTTCTAAAGAACCATGATGAAGACACGCCAACGGACGTCATAGCCTTAGACTTCTCGAAAGCCTTCGACACCGTGTCCCACAGAAAGCTGCTTTTTAAGATGCAGAATTACGGTATTGATGAACCTGTCCACTGTCCATCAATAGCTGACATCATTTGTGTGTGACCGTGACATGAGGTCGTTGACGGTGAACACTCTCAGATATCATCAGTACTATCCGGAGTTCCGCAGGGGACAGTCCTCGGCCCCCTCCTATTTCTCTGCCATATAAACGATTTACCTTATTTAGTCACCTCACAAGTGCATCTATTTGCAGACGACTTCTTCCTTTACTGGAAGATAAAAACGACCCGGGACACCACCAAATTACAAGAAGATCTCATTTAATTGGAAGAATGGGCCGAAGCATGGGGATGCCATGCAATGCTAAGAAGTGTACAATCTAGGTGAACACATCCTACAACAGACGTCCGAAAGTCCTTTTCTTAAAATCGCCATATCTGATATTCTAAAACGGAACTCCAGCATCAACAAAACCGTCAAAACGCGAACTGCTCGCTCGGTTTTACCAACATAAACCTCAAACGTTGCCCAGCCGAATATCGTAGATCAGCCTACCTCTGCCTTGTTAGGTCCATCCTTGAGTACGGATCAGTCGTCTGCGACCCCTACGCACAACCAGACATAAACAGACTCGATCAAGTGCAAAGGAGGGCAGCAAGGTTTATCTCCGGAGACTTTCGTTCTCGAGAGGAAGGATGTGTGACCAAAAAGTTAAGAGACGCGGGCCTGTCCCCACTAGCAGAACGACGCCGTATGCTTCGCCCGGTTATGTTCTATAAAGTGATCGAGGGTGTGGTGCCAGCCTTACCTTCGCATGAGTTCCTGACACCAGTTAACGAAAACAAACGTAAAATTCGTCTGCGGGATTTGGATTTAAGTGGCTATCAGTATAATAATACTGTTGAAAATTACACCTAATTACACAGAATTGTAAAACAGAACAATTTAAAAACTCTTTCTTCAATAAGACCACTATTGACTGGAACCATATGACCGACATCTCCACGCATAGTACCACGGTGGAGAGTTTCAAAGGAACCATCACCCTCAAAAACTACTAGATTACCAAGCACTCCTCCCTCGACGCGATACATATTCTTAGGGACCCTGCGCCGTATATCCACAGATACAGATACAGATAGTACACCGCGTATACATGTCATTTAAACATTTAAATATAGTAACAACGTCCGGGTAGTCTATCGAACAAAGGGACATGGTGATTTTCTAAAAACACAAAGTGCGTTATTTGATGCGCTGGTGTTTATATATAGGTTTTCTATTATTTTGTAATTCTATAGTTACGAGAAAGAGGTAGCTTCTTCCGGTTCGAAAATAGATTTCCTCAAATCTATACTTTCATTATCGTTTTATGTGCCTGCAACTGTTGGAGGCAGCAGCTGTCTTTTTTATCCCAGGTATGTATACGTACTGTTTCAGGTGTAATTATTGATATTACTGTACTGTGTGTGCATTTACCATAACAGACTATGGGATAAGTTTACATTACTATATTAATAATAATAATAATTCGAGGTTCTTATATACCGCTTTATCACAACCTAGTCCATAGGTCGTCTCAAAGCGGTTCACAAATTATTATCCGTGGTTATATGTGTGATTATAATAGGCACGTTACTGTTGCCAGAGTTGCATACATGTAACGTGATATGTATAATATATACACAACCAAACGAATATCTGGTAAAGATGGACAAAGGTGGAGATGAGAAATATTTTAAGGTGAATCTCTGACCTTTATATAGGCCCATCTTCATACATAACTTCTGCTGTATTTTCCCTAAGTCAATATTAAAGTACCTTTATTTTTACAAAATCAGGATTTTGTGTGATTGGTGATGAATCCCGAAGTCACAAGGCATTAAGAGCTTCATGTATGGGTCCGCAATGAAAGTGCGGAGTGAACTTATAATTGTATTGTTAAAACTTGAGTTGTCGGTCTTGTTATCGGTAACATGAACTTTACATGTCACGTCCGCTTTAGACATGATGGTGTTTGTTATCTGCACCAGCAGTATCTACTTGTTATAATTTGAAACCGGTCAGTATATACAAACCAAAGTTTATGATTAGCTATTAGCAACCAAGTTGTGTTCATTCGTATGGTCACTAGCAACGTATTATTTGTTGTTTAAGATCGAAATGGCCGCCAGAATGACGCACACCTTAATAGAAGACAAAGGTAACCTGACGTCAGCTTTATCTGAAATCAAAAGCCAAAACCTCCTCGCTGTTGACTGTGAAGGTGTAAACTTGAGTAGGTTGGGTGAACTGACTCTACTGACAATAGCAACAAAGGCCGAGGTCTTCATCGTTGACATACAGAAACTCGGCCAGGCTGCATTCGACAATGGGCTTCGTGAAGTTCTGGAGGATAATTCTATCGAGAAATTGATGTTTGACTGTAGGCAAGACTCCGATAGCCTTTGGCATCAATTCAAGGTTAAACTAGCAGGCGTGCTTGACATCCAGCTCCTGGAAATAATGTTCAGGAGAGTTAACTCCCCTTCACCACAAAGAACGTACAAATCGTTCAGGCGAAGCGCGAGAATTGACGATGTTGAGAATGTTTACGGATACCGGAAGTGCATTGAGTTGTACCTTGACGACGACGATATGATTGCTAAGAAAGACAAGGGTAAACTTATGTTTAACTACGGGAGGCAAATATGGAAAACACGCCCACTTCCAAAAGAGCTTGTCCAGTATTGCGTTGTAGATGTGTCCGGATTGTTCCCGCTGTATGAAAAGCTGAAACAGTCCGACTCGGATATGCCTCGTCTGCGAGTTGCCTCAGAGCGCTATGCAGACATGTTTAGAGGGAAAGAGGACCGACGTTTTGACGAATACGAATCAAACGCTCTGCTGCCTTTGGAGATCATACCCGTGACCGGGACTCTCGGTTTCCCTGGTGCGTCAACAAAGTGCACAACATGTGATCGGATGTTTCCACGGGAAGAATTCAGTGGTATTCAGCTGCGACAGGGAAATCAAAAATGTCGAGTGTGTAAGAAAGTCAAATTGAAGATAGATGTTCAAATAAACAGAGAAGACAACTGGGCGAGAGACGATAGTGGAGATGACTATTACGAAGAAACGCAGATCGATAATTACTACTGCTGGTGATGATCGATTTCAGCTCTTATCATAGACTCTAGCAACATATGTCCAAAATGTATTTGTCCAAACCTATCAATATTTATTATGTAAAACATCTTTGTTAAATAAGATTATTAGCACACAAATTCAATTTTTAATTGCGTAGGTATAATGATATCGAAAGAGGAAATGGATTGTATACATTTTGTAATATGATTGAAGCAGAAGATTCATTTCATATCGTTTCGAAATGTCGTTGTTTTGCTAACATAAGATCTAAATTCATCAAGATATTGAGTAAATCGTTCTACTATGTTTAAATTAATCCAACTGCTAAAGAGTATTATTACAGAGATTCGAACTTTGGGTAGGGTAAATATTTAGTGCATGCGAACAAGAAAAGGTTTCACAACTACATTAAATACTGGTTAATGATTACTCTCTACTATAATAATGTACAAATATAATGTCTTTATGTTATAGGCTTAGGTTTTTATAGGGTACATGAAGGACGAAGGCCATTACTTCCCTTTATGTCTATATCATTTATATAACAAATTTCATTGTAAAATCACTACCGTTCATGGCTTTGTAGCTAGCTAGGTGATTTACGTTCAGTTCAATGTTTCCAATGATTGTCCAAACTGATTTTATAGTCTCTTATTGTTGTAGTCTGTGTGACCGACCCAGGAAGACTTTTCCAAATATCAAGAGTTCTTTAACGAAAGGAATGATCCCACTGTCTTATTTACATTTATTTTTCTTTATTTTTGTGTGTGTATGACCTCTCGTTCAAGATGTTAAATCTTTATCAAAGATGCCAGCAGTAACTTTGTTGGCGTGAAAATTGGTCATAATTTTGTTAACATTATGTATATCTCCTCTCATTCCTCGATATGTCAGTGTTGGGATTCCTATTTTTTTAAGACGGTCGCTGTAAGATAGATCCTTCAGTCCAGGTATTGGTTTTGTTGCCCTTCGCTGTACTGTTTTAATTGTTTCAATGTCTTAAACAGTGTATGGGTTCCATACACTTGCCGCGTATTGCAGGTGTGGACGAACAGCTGTTTCAAAGGTACTTCATCCAAATACACACACGCTCTTCTAATAAGCCCCACAATGCTGTTTGCCTTGTTTACTGCCTGATGAATGCGAAACGCAAACTTCATATCCTTATTTATCAATACACCAATGTCTTTTTCATATGATATAATGTCCAGCCTAACTTTATCTTCTTTGTAATAGGCATACGGTAGCTTCTACTTTTGTATATATATAAAATCTTATCTATTGTATGTTGAACCTGATACTTCGGAAAACTTAAAGTAATAATAAACCTGAGTCGCATGTTCCGTTCTATGAAAACTTGGTACGTACACAGCGTCGCTATTGTATGTAAGAAGTGCTTGTGTATCTACAACACTGGACGCCATATCAGTTACAGTGAGCTAATTCTTGTGTTAATAAACATTTACGATAGAGACATTTTATTTCATGTTGTTAAGAAGTTGATCTCCTTTAAAAAAGGAAAGATTTTAAAATAGAATGAGCAAAAGACGTGTACATGTTTGTGGCTATTAATTTGATCCAGGGTAACAAATAAGAAGAATATACACTGTAACTGAAATAATTTTACTCTTTGAAATAAAGATCTATTACCATTAACTTGCATCACTGGGCAACGTGAAATGTAAAATTGTAGATATAGAAAAGATTTGATGAACAGCTTTTTTTAATTTTTCAATTTTAATGCAGTTATTACAGATGATTGTTTTTAGAATGTAAAAAGGAATAATTTTATGATTGGAAGAGGTATGAAAAATAAAAATGATAAATAATGGCAACATCAATTGTTTGTAAATCAACGATATTGTTATAATTAACACCCTTTTGAAATATTGTTTTTAATATAAATTGCATTCGGAAATTAAGGAAATTACAGAATCACCCGTGTATTTAGTAAAAAAATAAATTACCCATTAGCTTACATGTCATACAATGCCCAACTGTATAAATGAAAATCAAATCGAACACTTCGAATGAATGATAAAATATTTAACAACCTATAAGTTGACTAGTAAAACTACACAATTTAGTTGTGTAAAATACCAACACGTCACATTTTTGAATGTAGATAATTGTTATCATTAACTGATAATTTCAAAATACATTTACGCTAAAAATTAGCTGTTGTGTTTTAAAAAATGCTATTGTATATCAATATACCATTGCACGTCCACAAAGCAGTGATTGCTTTCATTGAGTCAAATGAAAAAGTCCAAGTTACCTATATGTGTACAGTAATGAGGGGGGGGGGGCCTTATTTTCTATGTACAAATAAGATCGGATTGGCTTAAATTATTTCGATGTTATGTGTCTGTATCTAATGCATTCAGACTATTCTAGTGTTCTCATTAAGCAAATTATAGTACAGTACCGTTCTTTGCATTTCATTGTACTTTTGATTTCGATACGCTTACAAGTCCCGCGATTCAACACTGCAGACATGGTGTTTCTAGTTATATATTGAAATGCAATAAATTTTAAGCAATTAAAATAAAGAATGACAATTAATGTTTGCAAAGTATATTGGTAACAAAAATTATACTCACAGTAGTCACTGTCAATGATGTATGACAAAAATCAGTCTACTTCTATAAAGTAAAGGATAACGAAAACTCCTATCATACATTGAATATTTAGCTTTGTGGAAGTGATATTAAAGCCTATAGATTGTCACTGATATAAATTGGTTATCTCAGACGTGTACAGCCAGGTACATGTAGCATGTATATGCCCAATACACAGAAATTAACACAGGTACCAAAATGAAATACATTTTCAGTTGTTGGAGTAGCCACATTTTAAATATTGTTAGGACCAGAATGTGTCAAATAATAGGTGACCAAGTCCGTCTATAGTTAAAGGAAGAACATTATAAACACAAGGACAATTAACACATTATAAAATGAAACAGGTCAGCTGAGATAACCTCTAAAGTCTTCGAGTTCCTGATAACGCCGCATGTTTGCAAAACATCAGCCAGGTAAATTATATATTTTCCCGCTTTTGGTACACAAAACACATGTTAGTTGTGAAGATTACGCTTTTGATTCAGGTTCACGCTGCGATTACAAACTTTAGGTTACCGGAAATAAACTCTTCTGGTACAAGTACCTCCTTTGCTATCAATCGAATCCTCCACAGCACAGCCTGAATTGTCTCCGAAATCTTTCGAGTCCCTGCGCGCTGGAGGCCAGGAAATGAGAATATAGACAAAGCTCATAAACTCCTTATAAAAAGACGAAAACAGTCGAACTAGATATAAACTTTAACACAGATGAATCGTTTTTAAATTACGTTTGGCTCGACTCTTATATACAATGTAAACCTTGGATTATGAAAAGTTCTTTTTACACAACCAATAACATTTTCTATGTCACGTTTCGATGAATAGTACGATATGTACACTCACCTTCATCAGACAAATGACCAGTAAAGCGTATGCACACAAAGGTGTAAAATGTGTACGAGTTGTCCACAAAATCGATGTCGATTCGGCTACGCTTGTATTACCGAAATGATTCGATTCAGCTACGCTTTGTTTATACTTGGCCATAAATGTCGTCATCTCGCCGCGAAATAACGAAACAACGACATTTAAACTTAACTAAATGTCGTGATCTCGCCGGAAAATAACGGAAAGACTAACGGACGACATTTGTAACACGAAATAACAGTTGTAGGTCGATAATTATCGCGAAATTATTTCGTCTTTTCGCTCGACTTTTGTCGTCTTTTCGCCTCGAAAAGGTGAGATGACGACACTTTAGATTCACCTCACACTGTTCTGCTCGTGACCTGTGACCCTTAAAGGAGGCTCCACCCTTTCGCAATTAACCAGCAGAATTCGTTGAAACTTTCACTCCGGACCAGGTGAGTTAATAAAAAGAAAGCGAGCGGAGGCTGACATAGATATACTCACAGGCCCTCCCCCACCACCACTCCTTCCTTCTCACACTGTTTTGCTCGTGACCTGTGACCCTTTAACCTTTTCACTACAGACATGCACTTTGCTTGTGACCTTTGACCGTTTAATATTGACCAATGAGCACGAAAATCTAATCAGGTGTTTAAATCAATGTTACCATACTATGGTGTGAATACAAACTAAAGTTGTTGAGGGTTTTTGTGAGATGTCTTGTACTCAAGCTTTAACTTCAAACGTGTTAAAGTGTGATCTTTGATCATTACCTGTCACCTTTCAACCGTTACCGGTGACCACCAAAATGTATTCAGGTGTATAACTCGATATAACCATACTGAGATAGTAACAATAATTAAATATACCCTTACTAAGTGAGAGTTGGGAGGGGGGTGTATAATAGTGCTCACCAAACATCGTATAGACAGGTGTACTTAGATTATTATAGAGGAAGAGAAAGTTATATATCAGTTCCTGTTATCGGTAATATCTAAACACTAGGTGAATTACACACGTGTACTAGTACACCGCGTAGACATGTCATTTAAAACATTTAAATATAGTAACAACGTCCGGGTAGTCTATCGAACAAAGGGACATGGTGATTTTCTAAAAACATAAGGTGCGTTATTTGAAGCGCTGGTATATATGTATATACGTTATCTATAGTTTTGTAATTCTATAGTTACGGAAAAGAGGTAGCTTCCTCCGGTTCGAAAATAGGTTTCCTCAAGTCTATACTTTCATAATCGTTAAAGGTTTGCAACCGTTGGAGGCTGCATTTGGCTCTTTTTTATCATGAGTATTATGAGTAATATTTTAAGGTGAATCTTTGGCCTTTATATAGGTCCCTCCCCCTACATAACTTCTGCTGTATTTTCCCTAAATCAACATTAAAGTTCTTTTATTTTTATAAACTCATGTTATTGTGTGATGAATTCCCGAAATCTCAAGGCAATTAATAGGTTCATGTATGGGTCTTCTTATCAGTAATAAACCTAATAAACTACAAGAGCCTTGGATTTATCAATTGTAAACTCTAAATCTAAATATCTACATACTATTTACATGTCACGTCCGCTGAATCACGTGGCTTGGCTTGTCTCACACATATTTGAGTACATGTCACTTAAGTTTGTGACGTGTATTCTACTGCACGTGACTTTACTTTATCAAATATATTTTAGTACATATCACTTCAGTGGATTCACGTAAACTCTGGTATATTTCGTTTGGCTCCATTATGCTTGTGGCAATTGATGAAATAACCAACTTTCAGTTTTGTTTCTGAGTACTAAGGTAAAACGAAAGAGAAATGTTAGCAGTGAACTCCAGACGAGATGAATTGTGTTTTCTTAACCTATCAAATTCCCTATTTGTGTGTGTGTTGCAGGGTGACTGGATGTGTATTCCCTTTGTGTGTGTGTATGTTGGAGGGTGAGTGGGGATGTGCATTCCCTTTGTGTGTGTGTGTTTGTGTGTGTTGGAGGGTGAGTGGGGATGAGTGTCTTGTGGTGCGCATGGTTTAGGTGTTACGGCCACATCTGAAATTGATAGGACATGCTTCCTGAAAACAACAGACATATTATTCACTTCCTTGTCTCCCTCTTGACGTTTCACAATTGCGATCATTATAAGAAACGACTGACTTTCATTTCATTTTATAACATTTTGTTGATAATATCGAACCGATCATTTCTGTGGGGAGCTACATATTGGCCAACTATAACATAAACCAGTCCAAATGAAACGTTCACAATCAGCTAGTTTTTATATTATTTTAGTTATGTGAACTATAGCGTCACGTCAAAAGCGTTCGACCGGATGTATTCTTCGTCTATTACCCCTTTTGTAATTAAAATTTCAAGGGAGGTAATAAAAGCCCCATTGAAACACAATTTGCAACATACGGAATTATTTCTTTTTAAATAATTACATGGAAATTAATTACATACATTTGTGTTGGCTGATTTTCGGTATATGACAAGTTATTCAGAAGAAATCGATTTTGCTACGCCATTTTGTCACCTGGCTTACAAATCAATAGTATTGATTTCTTCTCCGAGGATATAACTCGCTTTATCTTGCAAATCATTCTACAGCATTTATTTTTAATATTGTCAGATAAATACTCAGTCAATTCTCGTTCAGGGTATTTTATTTTTATTTATGTTGCATAATAATTGCTTCAAATGAAAACATGTACAGATTTGTGGCATATGGAGTAAATCAGGGCAAATCGCGAACACTTTAGACACGGTGGTGTTTGTTATGACATCAGTATCTACTTGCTGTAAGTGGAAACCGGTCAGTATATATATACATAAGTTAAAGGACATTCGATATATAGATATCAGAGACATTCACACAATACAAAGTGTATGAATAGTTATTAGCAACCTAGTTCTATTTATTCGTTTGGTCACTAACAACGTTAACTTAAAACATGTATTATTTGTTTATTAAGATCGAAAATGCCGCAAGAATGAAGCACACCTTAATAGAAGACAAAGGTAACCTGACGTCAGCTTTATCTGAAATCAAAAGCCAAAAACTCCTCGCTGTTGACTGTGAAGGTGTACACTTGAGTAGGTTGGGTGAACTGACTCTACTGACAATAGCAACAAAGGCCGAGGTCTTCATCTTTGACATACAGAAACTCGGTCAGGCTGCATTCGACAATGGACTTCGTGAAGTTCTGGAGGACAATTCCATCGAGAAGTTGATGTTTGACTGTAGGCAAGACTCCGATAGCCTTTGGCATCAATTCAAGGTTAAAATAGCAGGCGTGCTTGACATCCAGCTCCTGGAAATAATGTTCCGGAGAGATAACTTCCCTTCACCGCAAAGAACGTACAAATCGTACAGGCGAAGTGCGATGATTGACGATGTTGAGAATGTTTACGGATACTCGAGTTGCGTTAAGTTGTACCTTGATGACGACGATATGATTGCAAAGATAATCAAAGGCAGACAAATGAATGACGAAATAGCGAAAAGACGCCCACTTCACGAAGTTCTTGTCCAGCATTGCGTTGCAGATGTATCCGGATTTTTCCTGCTGTATGAAAAGCTGAAACAGTCCGACGCGGATTTGCCTCGTCTGCGAGTTGCCTCAAAGCGCTATGCGGACATCTGGAGAGGGAAAGAGGACCGATCTTTTGACGAATACGAATTTACCGCTCTGCTGCCATTGGAGATCATACCTGAGATAGGGACTCTCGGTTTCCCTGCTGCGACAACAAAGTGTACAATATGTGATCGGATGTTTCCACGGGAAGAATTCAGTCGTAATCAGCTGCAAAATGGAACTCAAAAATGTCGGGTGTGTAAGAAAGTCAAATTGAGGATAGATAATCGAAACTGGGCGGGGAGTGACAGTGAAGATGAACTTTTTTTTTCTCAAAGTTAACTATTAAATCTGTACAAGCAGGTGTAGGAGTGTTACACCACTGCAAAGGACCACAAACTGCAAGTGTTTTAATAATTATTTCACCTAAGCCTACCCCATCCGTATCTTTAACATCTCTGCCTGCAACTAACTAACTAAAGGGAAAAACCTACTTTTGTCAAATAGTGAACGGGAATCCCCAATGATGATTAAATCCGGTAACATCGACCATTGCTGCGTCCTATGATTTTATCCCTGTCTGAAATGTCACACTATATCTCCTGTACGTGATAAGGACAGCTTAGTTTAGCAAAGGTACTGATGATCCTACTTCAGTAACCTTAACAATTAGCCGACATATTTAATCTGTCTACTATATACTATATATCAGTTTTGCTTGGTTCACTTTATAGACAACTCGGCACCGACCGATACTGACTACTGCGGGTGATGATCGATTTCCAACTCTTACTATACACTTTTCCAGCATATGTCAAAGATTTATTTGTCCGAACCTATTAATATTAATTGCGTAGAACATCTTTGTAAAATAAGATTACAAGCACACAAATTCAATATTAAATGTTTTGAGTTACGCATTAATAAAATCGAAAGAGGAAAGGGATTGTGTACATTTTGTTATATGTATGATGCAGAAGATTCATTTCATTTCATTTTCAAATGTCGTTGTTTTGCTGACATAAGGTCTAAATTCATCAAAATATATTATGTTAATCGTCCTACTATTTTTTAATGTATCCAACTGCTAAACAGTAGTATATCAGAAATTAGAAATTTGGGTAGGGTAAATATTTAGTAAATGCAAACAAGAAAAGGCATCAACTACATTGATTACCGGTAAATGATTACTCTCCACTAATATAATGTACAAATATATTGTCTTTATGTTATATAGGCTTCGGATTTGATAGGGTACATGATGGACGCAGGCAGTTACTTCCTTCTACGTCTATATCAAATATATAACAATTTCAATTTAAAAATCACTACCGTTGTTGGATTTGTAGCCAGCTAGGAAAACTGATTTCGTAGTCTCTAATTGTTGTAGAATGTACATAGCGTCAGCGTCCTCCGTTTCATTCAAAACGCTACTAGTGCTGAACAGCTTTATTGGTTTTGACCAAATTTAGCCAGGAGCATCCTTGGGCAAAGGGGACTTAATTTTGTATAAACTGAGGATGTGGCCCTCTGGGTGCTCAGGAGTGGGCCCAATAGGGAAATTTGAGGTTTAAACCTTTAAAATTCTTCTTCTTCTGTACCATTGGAGGTATTTTATCCAATTTGGCCTGAAGCATCCTTAGGCAAAGGGACTCAACTTTGTTTAACAGGAGGTTGCGGCCCCTCTGGGTGCTGAGGGGCGGGGCCGAATAGAGGAATTTGAGGTTTAAATCTTTAAAATCTTTTTTCTTCTGCACCATTGGAGAGATTTTATCCGAATTTGGCCTGGATCATTCTTGGACAAAGAGGACTCAATTGTGCATAAACTGAGGGTCTGGCCCCTCATGGTGCAGAGGGGTGGGGCGTAATAGGGGAATTTGAGACTTACACCTTTAAAAAATCTTGTTCTTCTGTACCATCGGAAGGATTTTATTCAAATTTGGCCTGAAGCATCCTTGGACAAAGGGGACAAAATTTTGTATAAATGGCGGGTGTGGCCCCTCTCGATGCTGAGAAGCGGGGTGTCATGGGGGACTTTGAGGTTTAAACCTTTAAAATCATCCTTCTTCTGTCCCATTTGAGGGATTTTATCCAAATTAGGAAATAATGTTTTTATTAATTGAGGATGGGGCCCTGTGGGTGCTGAAACGAGGGGCCCAATAGGGGCATTTGAGGTTTAAAGTTTTTAAATCCTTCTTCTTGTAAACCATTAGAAGGATTTTATCCAAAGTTGGCCTGGAGTATCCATATGCCAAAGGGACTAAACTTTGTATAAACGAATCAGGGTGTTGTCCATTTGCGTGCAGAAAGGCGAGGCCCTAAAGGGGAATTTGTGGTTTAAATATTTAAAATCCTTTTTTCTTCTTAACTATCAGAGTTATTTTAACCAAATTTGGTCTGGAGCAACCTTTTCAGAAGGGGAATAAGCTTGATATAAACGTAGGGTGTTGCCCCTCTTGGTGAAGAGAGATTGGGCCCAAAAAGGGAATTAGAGGTTTAAATCTTTAAAATCCTTCTCCTGCAGTATGAATTGAGTTATTTTAACCAACTTTTATCCAGAGCATACTTCTTTAAGGGGGATTCCATTTCTCTTAACAGCTGTCCCCCTGGGAGCAAAGGGGAAGGGTCCAGTAGGGGGAACATGGTAATAAATGTTCAACATCCTTTTCAACATACTCATCCTTTATTTGGAGGGTTTTAACCAAATTTTGTGTAGAGTATCCTTGGAAAAAAGGGACTAAATTCTGTATAAATAGATGGCTTAGGGGACAGGGGTGCTGGCCCAATAGTTGAAATTGATGTTAATCCACCCAAATTCATAGGGACACAAAGAAGGGACCTCATGAGGAACGGGTGTTGCTGAGAGGCCGAGACAATATTTCAAATAGTATTAATAAGAATAATTTTCCATGGTCGTTTTTTATCCTGGTGAAGATTCAGGCCCTCTGGGCCTCTTGTTATTTTATGTTGAAAATAACAATAAAGACAAATGTTATACATTCCTAATACAGAAACGAAAACAGTCGAAATAAATATAAAATAAAACAAAGAAGCATGATTTTTAAATTACCAAGGACTTGACTGTTGTATACAATGTAAATATTGATCCCTTAAAAAACTTATTTATTTCGGATGAAATGCATTTTGAGAATAACGTTTACATTGTGTATAAAGAAAACAAGAGGTATGGAAGGCTTGTATCGCTAACCTTGATCTTTTCAGTAATAATGACAAAATAATTGTTTCAATTGTATAATTGATATTTCCAATTTGAGTTTTCCTCTCGGTACCAAGGGAAACAACGTCTCCATTATAACATTTTATCCATTGGTCTAACGGATCCTTAAAATAACAAACTTGGTTTAAAAACAGTCAATTGGTCGAAAGGAATAGGCTTTCAAAGATTAAACACCAAATTCCCTCCAATCTGACACTGCCCTCAGCTCACGGGAGAGTGAAACTCTTTCTTCATATACAAAGTTTTATTTCAAGATTTCGATGTACAGGTATGCATCGAAAGCAAACATATTTGGGATTTATATTTATGTATGTGAATATGGTTATAGGATCGGGTTATGACATCGTAAAAATAACTCGGATGGGTCGTGATTACGCGAACGAACAGGAGCAAGTGTGCAGGAAACGGAGTTGTCTAGACCATCTTCACTCCACACAAAATATCATAAATAATAGAAGGTTGTTCAAACAATCAACTTTCACATGCTCCGTCGACCTGAGAAAAGCATTTGATACAGTGAACAGGAATTCCCTGTGGTATACACTGATGTCGATTGGAGTGTCCGGTAAATGCCTCGGCGCGATCTAAGCATTGTACAATGATGTTAAATGTGCAATAAGCCTTAATTATCACCTTACTGATTTGTTTAGTGTTACACAGGGGGTAAAACAGGGGTGCAACGTATCGCCGACATTGTTTTCAATGTATGTCACGACTATTGGTATCTCTCCTACTATACGCGGATGACATTGCACTCATGGCCCCAAATGAACTCTCTACAACTCATGCTAGACAAACTTAACGAGTGGTGTATCGGTGGCGTTTTCAGATTAACCAATCAAAAACTTAAGTAATCTACTTCCATAACCCGTCGGTATCCCAATTTATATTAAGATATTCTTGTGGTAAGTTAGACAGTCAAATCACGGACCGGCATAGATATTTGGGCCTGTGGTATACAGAACATTTCGACATGACGTTGACAGCACGTGCACTTTCCAAGTCAGCTGGTAAAGCATTATGTGTACTTTAAACGAAATTCATATCAGGTGGCGGTATGACGTATAATGTGTTCAAGTCTTTAAATGATTCCCTTATTGAACCTGTTCTCTTTTATGGGTCATTTAAGGACGTACCAGGGTTTGGTGGTGGATGAAAGCCGGAGTTCCCGGAGAAAACCCACCGACCTACGGCCAGTACCTGGCGACTGCCCCATGAAGGTCTCGAACCAGCGACCCAGTGGTGGTGGGCTTAGTGGTAGCAGAATGTCAGACTTGGCCACCGCAGCCCTTGATTGCCTATATAACTTTATAGTTGTATAAACTTACAACATATTATGTATATATTCTCTGTGTATTTTAAAGGTAAGATACAAAGCAGATGTAAGTATAGGACGTTGTATCACATATAATCATGTTTATGGTACTGAATGTTTTATCATACAACTCAACCGGGACTCCTTTTCAACTGGACATCGATAGTTGTCCGTTGATTAAAGCAAGGAATTGAAACAGGAATAAGGTCTGGACATGTTCACAATAATTATCACGCTGTGGTAACGGGGCTTGATTATCCTTTCCATTATATCGTAAAGTTTTTCCGACACAGTGATCATGTGCATTTTCTGGTAGTGATACTGTTGAACCCAAGTGCTTTAATGTTCAAGTTTTAATTTTAATGATTTAGAAAATTTAACTGTAATAAAATTCCCCACGGGAAATCATAAACCTCATGAAAAAATGATATGGCCAATACCAGAATGTTTTGACATTTCAGATATGCACGATCAGAATAGAAAACAGATAGAAAGATGACGAGACACCGTTCAAACACACACACTCATCTGGTATTATGAATATGTTGACCTACATTTGGCCTTAGTCGTGATAGCCACACTTATTTATATTTTTAAGTAGTTTAACGCGCCATCCCTTCTGTTTGAACAGTAGCTGGACACTGTTCGATTCCACCTTTTCGGCCGATAGAATTTTGTTCGCATATTGAATCAATTACCCGATTTTACAGACACTTTTTGTGCAGTCTGATGTTACAAATTTAATATATAAAAAAAGATGAATAGGATTTGTAAAAACATACCCTTTAAGATACCCTTTTCTAGATTATACTATAAAATAGCGTTTGTTCCTATTTCTTATTTTATCCACTCCTATTCTACATAAAAAAACCTCATGAATAGAATATCACATCAAAGTTTTCATTTTAGATCATCAACCTGAAATAACACCTAAAAAAACCTATTAATATATAATACTTCTAAAACGAAAGTACCTTCTTGTAGCTAACTCCGAAGCAGTCAACCGCAATCAGTTTGGATTCGCTGGAAGTTTTGGGTTTTCCCATAGTTTACTGGATTCCTTTCAGTAACGATTATACCACATCGACACCACAACCAGGGTTTGTAATTTGTTTGTGGAGTTATATTTCGGCAAAAAAATACTTTTTTTTATTCTGTATAATTGAGTCATGGAATTATGTTGCAAAATATCGTCTAATATAAAAGGAAACATTTACATTAGTAATTGAGACAACCGGTAGACACCTACCTTGGCAATATAACATTACATTTTATAATACTCTGACGCAGAGGTAAAGGCATACCTTCACATTGTAACATGTAAAGTTGTATGATATAATAATGTAAAACGACACCATTGGTGAGCTGTTTGTCGCTGAGACTCGCGTAGAGTGTATTTCAAAATCAGCCAAGCGTGTCACATTTGCATTTGTTGTAGATAGTTTGCAATAACAAGCATGCATAGGACGTTGATAACATGTACTCTATACACAGATATATTAACTGGTGATTCGGGTACACATGTGTATAGACGTGTAGCTGTATGTATGTGTACTCAGATCACAATGACCTGTCCTGTTGACCTATATTACCATAATCAATATCTATATAGCAAGTAAGCGCAGATCTATCGATCAATGGCAGTTATCACTGCAACCGCCCCAGAGTTACAGGTATAACAGTTGTGATATTCCGGGTCGTGTACGCTGTACTCGATAGACCTAAACATTTCACGATCAGTAAAACGAGGGAGGTCATTTTGTTCTGACGAAATGTGTTGTTTTCGGAATGAGATCCGTCTGGTGTTTTAGTTAGGTTTGGTTTAATTTTGTTTTACGTCCTATTAACAGCTAAGGTCATTTAAGGACGTGGGATCCGTCTGGTATTATACATACACGGTGACGCTACTGGTATGTTTTGTAAACGAACAGATTTTTAAAACTGTTAATATGCAAAACAATCTAAATTTTAAATTGCATAATTGTATTTCATTTTGAAACAACAATTATGAAATGCGTTTATTAACAAACATCTTGTAAATGCAGGAAATATCTTCATTCAAATACATAACAAAACATGCACACAAACACATTACGTTGAACCACCGCTAATCTAGTAGCCCGACTAGTTTCCCCCGTAATATACTTGTTCATTTGAATTGATCCACGAAACAAAAGGGAGATGTGGCTGTATTGTCGAGGCTGTTTCTAAACTATAATCAAGTTTTCACGTTTATTACAAAAGTCGAAGCATTAATTTAAACATAACGTTTATAAAACGTCAGAAATACTAGAGCATCGCATTAATCTTTTCCTTAATAGGACTTCAAGTCTTCAAGCATATTTGTTTGAACCTTAATTGCAAACGTAAATATATGTGATTTCTAATTGTAATGTACGTGCTACTTCAGGCTCAAAGGATGGCTCACAAAATGCCGGAAGAGATTTGCTGTCACGTCGTTGACGACAATGCCTATGTAACGGAGGTTGTGCTCGAAGTAAAAAGCCACGAACGTATTGCTTTGTTCTGTGAGGGTGTGGAGGTTAGCAGAAAGGGTCAACTTTCAGTCATTATCATAGGAACCACAACAAAAGTGTACATCTTTGACATTTTAAAACTAGGCAAAGAAGCATTCAACAATGGACTTCGAGATATCCTTCAAGATAAAACCAAAGAAAAGCTCATGTTTGACTGTCGGGAGGACTCGGACTGTCTCTATCATCAATTCAAAGTGCAACTTTCCGGCGTGCTTGATCTGCAACTACTGGAAGTGATGTATCGGAAGACATCATCTGCGCCGTCCTCAATAGATGGTGCGTGTCCATCTCGGAGAAGTGAAATGGTTGACGCCATAGACAATGTTACCGGCTTCGTGAAGTGCATTGAAGTACATACAAAAGATAAAGATGTGCGCAAAGCAATGGATAGAAGCTGGATCGGGTATGACGGCAAAAAATGGCTAAAAAGACCTCTGCAACAGTCCATAGAAGTCTACTGTTGCGCCAAGACATCTGCAATGTTCACTCTGTTTGAGAATCTCAATGGGCATGGGGAGAATCTACCGCGCCTTCGTGTTGCTTCTGAACGGTACGTTAACTTGCTAAAGGACATACCACAGAGGCGGTTCGATAGACTAGAGACTCATACATTCCTACCACTGGACATCATCCAATTGGAAGGGACTCTGACATTTCCGTTAGCGAATACAAAATGTGTTATCTGTCAGCGTCTGTTTACTAGGTAAGAATTCAGTCGGACGCAACTGCGTAAAAAGCAGCAGAAATGCCGGGTGTGTAAGAAAGTACTATTTCTTCAGCGCACAGAGAGGATTCGAGAAAAAGAATATGAGCGAGAATGTTCGAAACGCGACGAAGATTACAATTATCCGTCAGACGAACCTCAGACAGAATTGCAACAACGGGAAGAAGACTACGACGAATACGGAAATCATTTTGACGATGACGAGATATCAAGCGACGAGCTCGAACACTTAGACGATTGGTAATGATTTATATACGGAAGCCATTTTGACGATGACGAGATATCAAGCGACCAGCTGGAACACTTAGGCGATTGGGAATCATTTCTTACTTTTGTAACTGGTGACTTTATCAAACAGATAACAACGTGATTATAAATGTATTTATTAAAGGACTTCCCATCATTCGTAATACACATGTTTTTCTTGTCGTATTTTCGTGTCGTCATTTCCGTATTGCGTATCGGGTATTCCATTACCGTAGTGTAAATTATAGTAACACCGGGTAAACAATAGTATACGTGCGTGTCGATGATATGGCAACACCCGATATCGATACTTAACTTGGAAATGTGTAATCACACGTACTTCAGAAATAAAGCTCATGATACAATGACATTAATTAAACTCACGGGAAGACACTGACATAAGATCAGACGACTTCAAATAGGTCGTATACGAGGCGCATGGAATACAGACTGATGTGTTTTGTTTACCGGCTCACCTGTACATATCACGTGTTAACAGTAGTTCACAAGCTCGGGGTCGCTAGGACTTTTGTTGTCGACCGAGTTACGCTCTGTCAGATCAATCATTTCACAAATGCAATTACAATGACTGTGAAAATAGTTGCTTGTAAAATATCAAGGGTGGAGCCTCCTTAACTACAGCACAATAAAAGGAATGTCTTATGACATTGTAAAACATGTACAATTATCTGAAACATCTGTGTGGGTATGTGTGTGTGTGCGTATGTGTGTGTGTGTGTGTGAGAGAGAGAATACTAAACTGAGATGATTTTAACACAATCGCGTGTGTCGGTAATCAAGTAATGCGAGATATTAAAAATATCATTAATTCTCCACAACAATCTTCATATAATATAAACGATAAGAAAACAGCATAAAAAGAAAGGAAGCGCGGAGGATCTGGTAGATATAAAGTTCACCGTATCTGTTAACAGATATAAGCGTTAACGGGAAATAATAACTTTCTCTTTCTCTATATTATCTTACACATTTCTGTCTATACGACGATCGGTGAGCATTATTGTTAACCCCAGTGAGGGATGGGGGTGGGGGTG